GTCCCTGGATCGGGGAGTTTAGTTATTAAACTGGAACAAGAGGACAGCAGTTCTTCTGCACAAGGGGCAGCATCGTGGCTCAATGGTTATTGCTGCTTTACAGCACAAGGGACTCCTGTGTTACCCAAGGCTGGATTTGAAGAGTCCAAAGATGTGCAGATTGGGTGGGCTGGCCATGGGAAAATGTGAAGCAATAGGATAGGGGCAGGGGTTAGATGGTCTTTGAGGGCAAGTGGGATTCATTAGGCCAAGTTGAATGGTTCAACCCTGTAGGGGTTCTGAAGTCAGGCTGAAGATCTCAGCATCACTGGAATATTTATTTGTTAGTCTATTCAGGCACAACAACCCTCATGGGGCTGGTTATCAGTTCAAAGCAAGACCTTAAACTCAAAGGAGAGTGAGTTCAATCAAGCTGCCACCCCCAACTTCACCAAAAGCCCACATCAGGAACTCACGAGAGAGTCCGTGTTGCCAGAGGAGAGTTTGTGCAGATCCAGCAGACTCTGGTTCACATCCTTCTCCATCTGCAGAGCTCTCTGCATTGCCTCCAGAGGATTGCCCCACTCATCTTGCTCTGGCTTCTAGGGGGGTTGGAAAGAGATGCTCAAGTCACTTTATCCATTAAATTTAATTTTTTAATGTGGTATACAGTATCATTACTAAGCCAATAGAATTGCTGCAAATCCATATCTAGCAAGATAGACACTAAACCCAACCTTGATGTCCTGCAGGAGGACCCGGCCTCCACGTTTATTCTGGAATGCCATCAGTTTCTCAGCGTGTTCCCGTTCCTCGTGAGACTGCTCCTTGAAGAACTCAGCAAAGTGACGCAGGGCAACATCATCCCGGTCAAAGTGAGAGAACTATGGGAAAACAGCAGCATTAATTGTATACTGAGATTTAAACAACAAAGACTTCAGAGATTTATTTTTGATACACAAAGCTGATGTTCCTGTCAAAACCCAGCATAGCTCACGAGTCTTTAAAAGGAAGCAGGAACTCCGTTCAGATTCAGCCAGAAGATACCATTACCATTCAATATAGTATTCCATGTCACAAATACATTTCCCAAGGCTGTGTATGGAGTACACCCATAGAGTTAAACCTACCCAATTTAGGAAGCAGTTACTCAGCACCATATCTAGGAGCAGGCAGGTTCCCACCAACACCTGGGATGACAATCCCCAGACACTGAAGCAGTGATCTCGGTCCTCAAGACACTACAGGCCTAGCCCAATAGGGTAATTATTATATTGCAAGCACCCACAAGCCACCAGAAATCCCAGTCCTTCACTGGGAGGAAGAGGAGGATAATACAGAAGGAGGTAGAGAGGACCTGCCAACACTGTAGCAGGTACCATCACCAATACAGGTGACGACCTGCTCACACCATAACCCATGGGAGTGTTCTTTCAGTTGGAGATACAGGCAGCAACTCAGCAATTGCTATCAACTTCTTCAGATGTTACCAAGCACCTCTCGGACAGCAGTTTATAAACAGACCTTCCTCACAGGTATGGACACGACCAAGCACCAGGAGGATTGAGCAACCAGTTGCATATATTGCAACACATGTGGAAACAGGAGAGACTTCAACTGGCACCATCCAGTTCCAGATGAAAGGCTGCTACCATTACACCTCAAGACCACCTCCCCAGCTAAATTTTAGCTCCTTTCTAATTAACCCATTTAGACACATGATCTATCTGAAGCACAGGTGACTTCAAACTTCTGATGCAGGAAATAGAAAGAGTTCTCAACACAGCCTTATTTTCCAGCCAACTGCTCATTTCCTAATCAATTTTTCCAGAGAGAAAAGACTGCACACCTTCAGAGCAAGAATCACCCAAGCCATATTAAACTTCAGTGATCAGCTGTTGGAACACAGTCCATTCATACAGCAATCGAACCTGCACTACAAGTGACAGACACTCGGTACAAGGTAGCTGCCTTTTCCCAGTAAAAAGGAAATGATAATATTTCAGGCCATATCATAAACTCACAAAATTCTAGCTTTTTCAGAATACAGCCTCAGGAACAGAAGCCTCACCATGGAGACGTAAACATAGGAGGAATAGAGCTCCAAGTTGATCTGCTTGTTAACAGCATCCTCACAGTCCTTGTGGTAGTTCTGACACACTTGGGAAGCCATCTTCACTATTACTGCTCACTCCCACCCAAACACCTCAAGAACTAAGCCTTTTTCCCACAAGCTCTTGTATTTATACTCCTGCAATATCCTGCACTCAACCTGGGAATGATGTCACCAATGATGATTGGCAATCCCTGACCACCAATGAGGAATGTTCCATCAATCCAGTCACCAATAAAAA